GCCGGCTGACGCTCGGCCCTATGCTGACGCCCCACCCTACGCACCCCTTGGCGCCGACATCTTTGCCGGCCGGCGGACCGTTTTAATCAAGACCGACGATGACGTGGTGGGCAGGGCGGCGCGGGGCGGGCCGGGGAGGGCGGGGACCGTGTGGCGAGCGTCAAGGACTGGAGGCGTCCCCGGGTGGCCCTTCTGTGGACGCCTCGCCGGGCGGGCCGGTAGCAGCGAAGCGGCCCGTAGATCGAAGAGAATTGGTCGTTTTTGGCCCTGGCTGGCAGAAGGAAGGGAGGCGGGGGCGGGGTGGGCTGGCGGCGGGCTTGCTGTTCGTTTGTCCATCGGGGCCCCAAAGCCCGATGATCGACCCCCGCCGTCCCGTCCGCGTGTTACTGCTGCGCGGCGGGACGGGGCGGTTGGACGAGCGTTGTCGCACCTTCCGGTCCGCACCGGCCGTAGGAGACGAGCTGCCTCAGGCCCGCCCCGCCGAGTGTGTTGACCTGCCGCGTCTTGCACGTTGCACGGCGGCGACGTCGCTGCCACCGAGGACGCCGCCGTCCAATCGCGGGAGGGAACGGAGAGTACGGGCGCATCGCTGCCCCCCCCCCCCCTTTCTTCAGGCGATGGAGGAGCGTGATCTGTTCATCGGGGCGCATGCACGATCCGCGCGATGTTCTGGGATGCATCCTGGAAGATGTGCGGATGACCTGATGGAGCCAGCCGCCCGCGTCGTGGTCTGTGGAGGCGGCCGATGATGCGATGGGCGTCGTGTTGGGGTCGTGTGTGCCTGACGAGCCGGAGCCCCTGGCGCCCCTGGGCGCCCTGGGCCGGCCGAGAGCGGCCAGCGAGGCGAGCGCCTGGAGGCCTCGGCATGCGCCCCGCAGGGCCCGGAGGCTGTGTTCTGTCGATAGAGACAACTATTATGAGGAGGACGACGGGGTAGAGGAGGGCGTCGAAGAAGAAGAAGATGAGGAGGAGGATGAGGACTTAGAAGGAGGTGATGTGGACGAGGAGGATGTGAATGGCTGTGATGCTGACCTGGATGAGGAGGTAGACGATGATGTTACTGCGTCATTAGCTTCTCCTCTTTCTCGAGCGTCCAGGGCCAGGCGCAACCTCATGTATGGTAAGGGTCGTTGGCGTCGAGCATTATTACTTTCACATGGTTTTTAGTTTACTTAAAATTATTTCTTTTTGTTCAATTATTCAATTATTTTTACTATGTTAGCATAGCCCGTTACCATTTTGAATATAGAACTTCAATTCCACCAATATTAGTTAAGTTGAGAATTGAATGTACAATGAGAAATCACCTGACACAAATGTTCCAGACTGTCAACAAATTAGTTTCATTCATAAGAGAAACGACCTTCATTTATTTATCTCTGTTTCCACATCACTAATTCTATTAGTGAAACAGAAATTCTATAGTGAATTGTCAGTGGATACAGTATCCTGTTTGCTTTTCAATAATATACTTTGGCTTGGTATGTTTGCAGGTATAAAATGCCCAGTATGTTCCAAATTTGTTCTCTCTGATGACATTGAGTGCCATATTGTCATGTGTTTGACCAAGCCACGCCTTTCATACAATGGTATGTACGACAGTCTTTATACTGAAAATCTCAGTGTGTGATAATAAAGGCCAAATAAAGTCACTCTTATTGTTTCTTTTTCCAGAGGATGTGCTTACAGATGACAAGGGAGAATGTGTTATCTGCCTTGAAGATCTTTTACAAGGAGACACCATAGCTCGCTTGCCGTGTCTATGCATTTATCATAAAAAGTGAGTTTGATATTAATATTATCAATTGTCATAAATTTTAAAATATGAGTGCACATTTTAATATCTTTTTTTTTCCCAGTTGCATTGACAGATGGTTTGAAGTAAATCGCTCATGTCCAGAACATCCTGGTGATTAATATTGAAGTCCCATGTAGGCTGTGCCGTGTGTTGCCTAGGCTGTTAAGCAGGTTGCTCATGCCTGTGGCTGTGCCTTGGCTTTGTGACTCAAGTTTTTTAAAAGTTTTCCTTTTTGTAATTTTTTGTTTTGTTTTTTGAGGCCACAAAGAACTTAGACTGAAGTGAGGACAGTACAACAAACTTGGTTGTCTGACTTGGACTTCCCTGGCCAATCAAGCCTGCCCGCTCAATATTTTATGTGCTAGTGAACACGTGTGCGTTTGAGTGTAGCACATTATTCTACATCACGGTGTCAAGTTCAGTGCCCAAGAAGTTGAAGAAACTATCTAATTCCTAGTACAATTTCGTACTACCAGACTTTGTGAGTTTTTTTAACACTTGTGCAGCTATCACCAATCCAAGATGAACACATTTTTCTTTTGAATCGACTGAATTATAAAAATTTATAGTGGTATGGGAAGAGTTTTTCTTTGAAATGTTTTGCAGGGAAGATAACTTATATATTGTATAAAAATATAATTATTGATTTTAAGTATTGTTGCTAATTATCATTTTACTACAAGTTTTAATGCCGCCATATTGGTTTAAGAATTTGCATGTGAATTGTATTTGTAACACATACGCTTTGATGTCGTTAGGAATTATTTTCGTTAGATGGTATAAAAGGCTAATGAGCCAACCTTTTCTGAAATTCTATTGTTTTTCCTCCAAAACATTTCTTTTTCTGCGTGATGTTATGAACTTCCTCTTGCATTAAGTTCCAACTTGTTGGATTCTCAACTATTGTGATGTAAGAGTTAAATAAATTTACTGCTGATGCAGATTTCAAAGTAATTTTTAATGTTGTGCTGCTATGTTACTGATGTATGTTATGGATTTCTGACAGAATTATTTTGTTTAGTGATTATGTTTACCATTCTTGTTATGATTGTGATTACTTTTACCATTTTAACTACTCATTTGTTATTTGGACATTTTGTGTCTAAGTTTTAGTGCAGTATGATATTAAATGCATTAAGTCTATCTGTGGTGCTACCGATCAATTTATCACCCATTTGAAAACCACTCCTCACACATGAGAGAAGAGCAAATTTATCAAATTCATTTAGAACTAAAAAGGGTTGTCTTGGGTGCCATGCATAATAAACTAAAATCAACCATGAGAAAACGATTGACTTCGTTAATTTGTCTAATTATCATGCTAAAGAAGTAATTTTCCCCCAGTGGGTCCTTACGTTTAGAAAGACATCTCAAGCTTATACCTGCTCAAGACTAGAAAGGGGAGCCCCTCAAGGGAGCCCAGAGCCCGGTGCGGTGATGCGTCTTGGTTTAAAAACTCGCGCTTAAATCCAAGTCACGTCACGTATATCGGGGCAGCCTATCTACTAGGCGCCTTGTCCGGAGATAGATCACCAGCCGAAAGGGCCTCCGTCTGGTCTTCGTAACGTATGGGCTCAAATAAAACAAAAAACAAAGTTGTAACGTCAGTGATCTCCACTTCAATTGAAACTTTATTTGGGAGAGATACGTGCAACCGGGATTCATTTTGCACAGCATTCAGAATATTCCCTTAGAAAAGAGGACTTTAGGTTATGTCAGTATTTCTCACATTGAATATCAACTGATTATCAACAAAATGTGCTGTCCATCCATAATTAACAACTAATGAAATTGGGAAATATTCGGTTCTGTTAATTCGAATTTTGTTTAGGATTAATACTGATTTTAACTTACTATCGAACACTTCCTTTAACTCACCATGAATTTTGCTGGTGTCATTCGATTAAACAAATGTGGTTGTGTCTGCTTGATATTTGTGTTCCTGCTCTTAATTTTATATGTAATTAGTAGAAGTTCTAAATTAGATGAAGAAAATACAGTAAATTTACGAAAGCTGCTAATAGCAGCAATAGAAGTTGCCGAAAAGGGTGGGAAAGAAGTCAGCTATGTCCGAAGTTTACCCGATATTAATATTAAAAGTAAGGGAAAAACGAAGGAGGGTGCTAACGATCCTGTCACTATTGCTGACAAAAAGTCTCACTGTGTGATGTATTACGGAATGACTCAAGCTTTTCCCAAAGTAAAAGTAAGAATGTGCACTAAGTTTAAAACTAAGGCTTGAACTAAATTGTCTCTTTAACTGAGTTGAGAACCATTACAGGTGATATCTGAAGAAGAGAAAGCTTCTGAAGACTGCAATCCTGTTCAGTTGGTTGAGCTAGACCCACGAGGTTTGGACGGGCAGGCTGATCCAGGGGATGAATTTGTTCCAGTTGATGACGTAACTGTTTGGATTGACCCTCTAGATGCCACCCAAGAGTTCACTGGTGGGGAATTTGAATATATTCACTGCTTGTGTTGTGTAAATATTTTTGGAAACTTCTTTCTCTTAAAATGAGGTGTATTGATTGCAGAAAACTTGCTCAGCTATGTGACAACACTAGTGTGTGTTGCAGTTCGAGGGAAACCTATTATAGGTGTCATACATAAGCCCTTTGCGGAAGAGCCCAAGACTACATGGTCATGGCTAGGGAAGGCAAAGTCAGCTGATCTTAAAAATTTAAAGCAGGTAGATATGTTACCTTGTTTCATCACAGTAATTTTATGAATTAATCGATCAATTATTTAATCTTTCTATCATTTTCAGGTTGAACAAATACAACCTCTTTCCATAATAGTTTCCCGTTCTCATGCTGGCCGTGTCGAAGAAGTTGCCAAGAAAGCTTTTGGTCCAGAAACAAAAGTAATCCCAGCTGGTGGTGCTGGTTAGTTGAAGTGATAAATCGATCCATCTACTTTTACCGAGTTTATAGAGATTTACTGACATATTGATCTCTTTCAGGTTATAAAGTTTTAGAAGTCATAGCTGGAAATGCAACTGCCTACATTCACACAACTAATATCAAAAAGTGGGATATTTGTGCAGGCAATGCCATCATCCATGCAGCTGGTGGAGACATGACAACACTAAAAAATCAACAGATTGATTATTCTTCGGGTTCAAAAAGTGTCAATACTGATGGACTTTTTGTAACAGTGGGGTCACACCACAGTGAACTCATTCAAAAACTTTCAAATATTAATCAGTGAGTCATTTCATATATATTTTTATTTAATTTTGTTGTGAGTGTAGTATGAAAGTTAGGGGTTGATGAAATTGAAACTGATGTTTTTTGTTGATTTTCTTTTTATTACTACTACAAATGGTAATCTTAATTTTGATCTTCTATCCTCCCATTCTCTCAATTTCGTTCAGCAGTACAGGAAGGAGATAGGAGAAAACTGAACTGAGCTGTTGTAGTGTGAAAATATTTAAATTTAGCAGGTCCGTTCTGCAACTGTTAAATGTGGTGCTTGATTTGTTTGGTGCTAGAAGTTACTGTAGTGTAGTTGTGTGTGAGGTGAGGGTTTGGCTGGTAAACATGGTTAAATTGATGTACAACGACAGCTTGTAGAATCTCATGGGTTTCCCATCAGACATTGTTATTGCGTTTTAAAATGTATTACTTGAGAAACCAGAAGACTGAGCAGTACAAATTTATTTATAAAGTTTGTTTTTACACACTGACAATTTTTGTTTAATTTTGATTAGTAAATATGGTTGGCATTAACATGTTAAATTTCCGATTTGATTTCAAGTGCCATTGCCATAATTATTGTCAATAATGTCCTAGTAAACCACTAATTTTGGAGAAAAAAAAAATCATTATTTAGAAGAGGTCAATCTTAGATGCCGATAACTAAAAGGTAGCATGCAAATATTTTGTTGTCTTTGTCATTTTAAATTAATTCTGTTGAATCAGTGATATTAGCAGCTTTGTATCAATGATTGCTAACAAGAATTTCTAATAAAATTGTATTTTTATATAACGAAGTGTAACCGAATCTCATGTGCTTATGAGCATGCATTTTTACTTTACCTTTTGTTTTGAATCCATGCTAAGGCTCTTTTGGTACATACTGTTCTGATGTGAGCTTTTGTTTAGCTTATAATTATCATTTGATGAGAAATCGTAATCTTCTCTTCTAAAACTGCAGATCTGTGATACTAATGTTACTTTAGATGTAGAGGATGCACTGTAGTAAGGATTCAACTTTATTCAGGTAACCTGGTATCATTTATTTTACAACAAACAAGATCATTAACTACATTGCAGAAAAGTATTAAATTGTTTTCATCCTTTCTTCTTTCTATTTTACAGTCACAAAGAAATTCTTTGTAAATTTTGTTATAAGTTTGGAAATGGACACTAAATATTAGTCAATGTGTTGCAGTAATAGCTTTTGTTTTAAAGATGTCTTTTGGAGGATATATATATATATATTTTTTAGAACTCTTGATCTTCTTGGAACACAGCTTAGAGGTTCTTGCCTTGTGTTTTGAAATAAAACTACATGCATTAGAAAATTCTAAAAACTGTTTTGAAACACTTATATTTTTTGTATTGGTTACAATTCAAATTTTTAAAGGTAATAGAATTAACAGGGAATGAGTCCAGCTCCAAAACGTTTTTTATCTTCATAGCATTTGCCTCCCCAACTCCTTAACCCTCTCCCCCTTTCCTCTCCAAGAAGAAAGGGAGGAGGAACTCTTCTCAACAAACTGTTGAGTTTTTGTGCACTACAAAATATATTCTCTACTTTAATAACCTAAGCAGGATAAAGTATTGAATCATTATTTCCCCTTTAGGATGACATTGAAATCTCTCAATGATAATAATTTGCTACAAATTAAAAATCAACACCTTGAGGGTAGTGACTAATGCAGTAAGTAAGGTTGATTAAGGCTGTACTTAGAAATTCATGTAAAATGCTGCATCATTTGAATGAATAATAATTCATTCTTACACATTAACTCTGAGCAACATGTGTTTATGAGAAGTTGACTTGGTATGGTGGTTGACCATTTTCTACAGACCACACTGAGCCACTCACGGCTTTGTGTAGGATCTGTACCAGAGCCTTCCCGACACATTCAGGTCTGTTATTTCAAAAAAAGAGGAAGAATATTGTGAAATTTATAAGTTCAATTGAAATTATGCGCTTATTAATTGTCTTACTTTTGCAATGCTGAATTAGCTGTATCTCTCTGCCATGCTTTTTCAAACTCAGATGAAAGCAATTGCTTCTTCACATTTTGGACTAGCTTAGTGTCTGTGGCTGAAGGGCAAAGTGCTAAAATTCGCACACCGGTCATATTTAGATGATATGCATCCTGCAAAGTAAAACTTTCCATGAACAGACATGTTAAGAGCTATCAAAAGAAATGGCACATCCCTCCAAAACTTACCCCATATGAGCGTGTGAATCCCACTATTGCATGTTTTGTTGCTGTATATATTGGCACACTCACATATGGTCTCAGGCTCACATTAGATCCCATATTAACGACAACACCACCACGTCCTCCTCTATCTTTCCCCATGAACCTCAGTGCTAAGAGTGTCCCACGTATCATGCCATTCTGAGTGAATAGATTATATTTTGTACATATTTCTCACCAAACATAATCAGGGGAGATGGTTACAACATTTTACTTACAAGATTTACATCAACTTCCAGCTCCCACAAACGGTCATTCATTATGCCAGCATTGTTCACAACTATGTCAAGTCCACCGAGAGCAGCCATTGTTGTTTGGAAAGATTCTTAAAGTTAAAAAGTATATGTTAATAATGAAACAGTACATGTTAATAATAATAAAAATAATAATAAATGAAACAAGATATGTTTGTGCTGATGTGTGATAACTTTACCTTCAAATTGTGGGTAGTCAGTAACATCACACTGACAAAATAGAATCCTGTCTTTACCATACTTCAGACTGAGCTGTTTTACAATGTGCTCACCTTCAGCCATATCCAAATCACAAATAGAGACCTTTGAAGGAAACAAGAGCAAAGTGAGCTATCATAATTTTAGTAAAAGTGGAATTCTCTCAGTGGGTAGTCACACAGTAGATTTTACTATAATCTGGCAGTAAAATTAAAACGAGACAAATTCCTTATGGATCAGGTGTCAATCAAATCATTAACATTTGTTTAATTCCTAGACAGCTGTCAAAACACACTGAACTCATTGCGGGCGACGCCCGTGCCTTGGACTTCCGTATACCTTCGCTCCGTATTTCAGAAGTTCTTCACAACAAGCTCTTCCTATTCCACCTGTGCCTCCGGTGACCAGAGCTACTTTTCCTTTCAAATCCATTCTTCTTCACTGTCAGAAATCAGACAAACAGTCTAAACAAAGATTTAGTTTGGGTCGTTGCACTCTGGACCAGGGAGCAGAAGCCTCTAGCAGAAAACATTAGATAAACAAAAGATGCTAAAGCAAACGGGAGATAAAGGATCAGTTCGGTCGTGCCCGGAAGTCACCGGAAGTTGACCAGGGTAAACCGCCAGCGCCAAAATTTAACCTTTACAAATATCCTTCCATTGTCAGCGAGGTCTGCGCCGCGAGTTTTTTCACCACTTTTGTTTTCTGATAAAATTTGCCATTTATCAGACCCATTGTCAACGGTTGACTTTTGTGATCGGCTATACAAATGTAGTTTGGCCAAACTCATTAAAATAAAAACATCTCTAGAAATGGTTTAGATCTGTCTGGCAAACTTGCCCAGTATGTCGACATTCCTTTACTTCATTGAAAAGAGGCGGCTCCGATTGTCCAAAGCCCGTTTGTCCGAACCTAATTTATCTATTTTAGTAAATAAAATGAGTAAAGTAGTTAATTACATTATGTTATTTCATTTAGTGACGGTGGTTGAAATAAGAGCTAAATCAGGTACAGATACCATCAGGAGGGCAAACGAAGAGCCTAACTGCAGTTCCGGGCCTGGGGGGGGGGGGAGATTGCCAAGTTCAGCTGGCTCATAGCGCCTTAGGCAACATCTTGCTTGTAGTGCTTGCGTGTATTGCGGGATGGCCTACCCGGAGTCTCGCAGGCGCCGAGCCTCCCTAATATCTCGACAAAAAGACAAAAGTCCGCTCGGCATCGGAAATGCTACGCAACCTCTTTGGTTTTCTCGCACGCTGAGTCTAAATCTGGTAGTGCCGATGTCGTCCGTGCACTAGCACTAGCACGAAATACGATTCGGCTCCAAACGTTGTTACACACGGGCTGGTGCATATTTCTTAAAAGTCGCCAAATATAATTATTATTAATAGCAAATCGCCCATCATAGTTTATTATCCTGATCATTTCACTATTGTCACCATGGCACTTCCCTGGCGTTGCCGCCTGGAGCCACACAACGATGCACGGACGGGAAGCATCCCCAAAGGATCACATCCTGGAGAAGCGAGGCGGGATTGCCTACCCCAGGAAAGAATCACATATCCCGCGACCACGACATGTCGGTGAGTGTGCCGTAATTATTGCTCTCCCCCTTTGCCGTGCCGCGTCCCCTACCCCTCTCCTCCTCCCCACCCCCACCGCGCATTTCCCGCGCCTATATGGAAACGTTACGATCGGCGTTCCTGCCAAATACCGATAATACCTACTCATATAATCATTGATCATAGGATTTTAACCAGAATTCTAGAGTGGACATCGCCGCTTTTCGTTATTAATCGCAAGGTATAGTGCTTACTTGTTTCCGGTCCGGAATATTGAATTGTTCGATTCCGGTTATTGTTGTAGGAGGTTATGCTCCTCTGGCTCAATTTTTACACGCACAATTAAGTTGTAAGTTATTTTTTGAGGCCGAGTAAATGATGCCCGTGATGTAAATAACTTGGCTCACTGTCAGCTTTGTTGAAAAGGTGTTAAATGGGTAGACTCCTCCAATCCATGCAGTATGTTAAATCATGGAGTCAAGCATGGTTAAATACTGTTGTAGGTCCTTATGCAAATGGGTGAACGTGCCAGTGTTTTATCACATATCACATATTTGACTCTATTTTTTTCTCATGGAACAGAAAACTTTATTACTTTCTGATTGGGGTGCAAACCGAGTGGTACTATTTGCGTAATCCCCCAAACAATCAATCAATGTGCGTTGCAGATAATTTGCAGCTGCCCCTTCGTACTTAATGTTTAATCCAGTGCCATAATTAGTTATTTGAAAGACCATAGTCATTTAGAGACGCATGGGGGGAGAGGCATTTATAAGTGTATTGTATGAGTAAATTATATGTAATTAATAGTTGATGAGCGCTAAAAGTACCGTTTAATATGATTGCAGGAACACGGCCCAGAAATGTTCTTGACATATGAGCAAGCAGAGAAGTCTATGGAGTCATTTTACCCAAAAGAATAGGTGAGTTGACATGACAGTAACTGCCAACGCTGGTCCAATTTGTCTCTGTACAGACACTATGAGGAGCTTCCTTTC